AGCTGGGTGCCTTTCTAAAACAGAATCTCTTTATTTTCCAAATCCACACTTAGCTGTCAAAAGGAATCTAAACCAGTGATGGCACATTTAGCCCAAACATCCCATAATGACTGGCCCAAAATCATAGAAGCCCAACCTCTCGAAGCTCCATGGTGACATAGTGCTGGAGCTCCTTGGCAGCTTTGGCCCTGGTCTCCTCATTCCGGCTCTTCAGGCCACTGGCGAACTGCTGCAGAACACTCACATTGCTAGACGTGGTGGTAGCTGTGGTGGCGGCGGCAGGTCCAGTTCCAAGCATCTTGCCCTGAGGTTCTTCAGAGAGAAGCTTTCTTTAATAGTCTGGATGACAAGCTATGGTGATAAATTTATTTATGGCCGCAGTTCCTCAACACGGATCTCTACCCAGCCATGTCAGGTAGGGGATTCTAAAAACATTGGGAGATCTCACTAAAATATATTTAGAAAGTCTAGATTCATTCAGTAACGATGTTTAAAAGAAGCAGTGTAATGGGAGGGTCAAACTGTGGGCCATGGAGCTAGGCTTCCCAGGTTTGAATCCCATTCCAAAGATACATACCTTGAAGAAGACACTTCCAATTTGTTTCCTTAACTACAATAGGAAGGTAATAGTAGCCAACTCATCAGTTGATGTGAGGATTAAACAAGTTAGGACATATTAAAAAGTGCTTAAAACATTGCTGAGCGCAAAGTGAGCTTTTAATAATTGTTAGCTATTTTTATCATTACTACTAAGTACATGGCACAATGCCAGGTAACAAAGGTGGGGAAGTAGGGAAAGAACTAAAAATGACGAATACTGCCCCTTTCTTCAAGGAGTTCAATCTAAAGAGGGAGAGACTGATTATTATTCTATAGCACCACTATCCAACAGAAGTATAACCCACAAACGTATTTTAAAATTTGATAGTAGCCATATTAAAAATGGTAATAAAGGTGAAATTGATGTATTTTATTTAACCCAATATCCACAAAATCATTTCAGCATGTTATCAATATAAAGAATATTGATATATTTTCCATCCTTTTTTGTACTGAGTCTCCAAAATGTAGTGTGCATTTTACACTTAGCAGTTTCAATTTGTACTAGTCACATTTCAAGTGCTCTATACCCACATATGGCTGATGGTTATTGTATTGGACAATGCCGTTCTTTAGAATAGTACCAGTATTTCAAATGTTAAGCTAAAAGAGACCAATTAGTTCCTGAAATCATTCACTCATTACTCAGTTATGTACTGTTCCTTCTCTCCACAAGCTTACAATCCAGGGGGAAATACAAATAATCAGGCAACCACAATAAGGTGGCCATAATAGAGCTCAGCCCACCCTGCCACGGGAGTTAACATATACTTATCCTAAGTATGTTCAGATTATACTAGAAAACCGATTTCACAAAATTCTTATTCTTGAATGAATTTGTAAGACGCAAAGGAAAAATCAGGGAATAACTGGTTTTGAGGAGCTTTCAAATACTCCAGTGTCAAGAAAAAGACTGCATAAGGAAATGTCATCCTTTAAGGGCAGAAGAAACCTAAGGATCCCTAGTAAGAAAACTACTATAGTTTGTGTGCATATAGAGGGGGAAGGAGGCTGACAAGGAATTTCTACTCTCAGGTAAGAACCAGTGTATCTTTCTATGGTCTAAGGCCCACAGGCAACCTGCTCCAGGCTGAATTCAATGAAACTGCTAGAAGCCAAATATCCTAAGGGTCTTGGTAAAGGCTTAAGGAAGTTAAAGTTGGATGGCTGAAACAAGGGATTGGGGTGGTGGTGAGGCAAAGAGGATGAACCCCAAGGATGGAACCGAGCTCAGTTCCGGGGACTGGGTCCCTGAGAGGTCTCCAGGGAGTACAAGGGGCTGCCACTGACGTAGATGCTCCCTGAGGCAGGGATCCACAATTTGTATGTGGCTCAGGAGAGGTGACTGTGCCGCGCAAGGAGACCCAAAGGCGCCAGGGCAGTACTGGAGCTGATGGGCCGACATTCTGGCGCCTGGGACGTACAGCGGGCTTAAGGGTCCAGGGGTCTCCTGGGAATCCCTGTGAGGTGGGCGTTGCCTCGCGGGGTGAGGGTCAAGGGCTCAGGCGGTACCCAGGTCGTGGGGCCGGTACTGCGGGGACCTTATGTCCCAGACGGGCGGCTTCCCCGGGCCCTCCCCACGGACAGGCTGGCCGTGGGTCTGGACATTCTGCCGCCTTGGAGGGATCGTGCCAGGCCTCAGACTCACCGCGCGGCTTCGGCCAAGGCCTCAGCTACCGCCGCCAGCGCCGGTACCGCCGCTTCAGGCCCCCGGCCCCACCACCCGCCTTCCCCGCTGTCCTCTAAGCCGGGCGGGAGGGAAGGCGGGCTTCCAGCCCAAACAACCAATCGACAGGCGTAAGAAGAAGATGGACCTGGACACAAACCAATAGTAATGAAGGAGAAGTGAAGCTTCAGGACCCGGCTTCTCCAGTGGGCGGGGACTGTTCAAATAGACAAACCACGCGGCCAGTGGCAGGCGAAGGGAGGCTTAGGTCCATTCGGGAGAACCAATCGGTCGTGAGTTGACTTCTGTCACTTCCACTCATACATCCGGTGCATCGCTACTATGATTCCTCTCTGCATCCGGGCTGTGGTGGTGCGGAGTCCGCTGTCTGGGTACCTCAGGGCGGGATCAAGAGCGGTGGGCAGGGCTTCGCGACCCCGCCCTGTGTAATTCTGAGAGGAGGGTGTGAGCGATGCTGGGGCCCTATAATTACTGCTACAAAAGACGTACGATTTTCAAACTAGCGCTACATATGGATCCGCGATTTCTCTTTTGTTAAATTTAATAGGCATTTGAAAATGGTTTCAGTTAGATTTTCTCACTTTCCCAAAATTATCTAGCTCACAAGCTAATTCCCGAGACACCATAGCCAAGTTTTCACTGAAAGAGGTACTCGAAAATAAAAAATTTCAAAGCAACATCATTTTTCAAAAATCCTTTCTCAAAAAATCAATAGCAAAAGTGGAATTTGACTACATCTTTATTTTTTATCACAGTGCTGTTTATAAACGTTAAAAATTCCTAAGTATCTCACAATAGGAGTTTCAAAAATATGATGTAGTCACATTAAGAAAAATGTATGTAGCCACTAATAATAATGTGGCCCCACAGTGGCTCACGCCTGTAATCCTAGCACTCTGGGAGGCCAAGGTGGTAGGATCGCTTGAGCTCAGGAGTTTGAAACCAGCCTGAGCAAGAGATCCCGACTCCACTAAAAATAGAAAAATTGGCCGAATTTCGTGGAGCTGTCTGTAGTCCCAGCTACTGGGGAGGCTGAGGCAATAAGATTGCTTGAGCCCAGGAATTTGAAGTTGCAGTGAGCTGTGATGACGTCACTGCACTCTACCCACAGCCACCGAGTGAACTCTTGTCTCAGGGAAAAAAAAAAAAATATATATATATATATATATTGGTATTTGGGAACGACACACTTTTTTTTTCTTTATACATTACCATCAATTTCTAGTGTAATAAAAAGAAATGTTTGTTGAAGAAATGAAAATGTCCAGAAGGCCTAAACTGCCAAATTAAAGAGGTTTGGTGAGAATATTCTGTAGCTAACAAAACGCTTTGGCAGTTTTTTTTTTAAATAGTCATGATTACTATTTTAAGTTTAAACTCTCCTCATTGCATCTCTGAGAAATAACTGTTCTTATAAATGTCACATTTTCCACCTGTGTTTAACATCTACATTTTTTCATTAAAAATTTTCTAATATGTAATATATTCACTTTTCAAATCTCAAAATAAATGAATTATATTTATCATGAAAAGTCTTCCTCTACCCTTGTCCCCTTGACTGCTTATTTTCTTAGTTTTTTATGTATCCCTGGTTTTTCTGTATGCAAATACAAGCAAATACATAAAAATATATTCTTATTTTCCCCTTGTTACACTATATACACTGTTCTGCATTTTTAAAATTTTAGTGTATTTCGGAGATCTTCTCATCTTAGTATACGGAAAGCTTCCTTGTTCTTTCATTGTTGTTGTTATAGTGCCTCGTATTCTATCATCACATGGTTGTACCATAATTTATTTTCCCAGTCCTCTGTAGATGGACACTTGTGTTGTTTCCAGATTTTTGCTATTTCAAATGCTGCAGTGAATGCCTTTATATGCATATCATTTCATTCCCTGGCAGCTATACCAAGATAAATTTCCAGAATGAGCATTATAGGGTCAGAAAGTTTTGATGAATGTTGTTGAATTGAGATTTTTGCCACCTTAAGGGTGACAAAGCCCTGGGTTTCTAATTAATAATAAAAGATGGTTATATAGAAACAGTAATTAGTGCATTTGCAGGTTTCTTTTCTGTTTACAAAGAGCTTTCTGATTCATTATGTTAAAATAATAACTAATATTTATTGAGTACTTACAGTGTATCAGAGATTTTGGTGGACATTGTTAAAAGCACCTTGGAGTCAAACTAACTGAATCTGAAACTTGGTTCCAACACTTCTGTACATATTTCCTTATCTGTAAAACGGGAAAGATTATAATACCTGTGTTGGTAGGCAGCGTTCTGGGGGTTAAACGCTAATAGTACATGTAAAGTACCTAAAACAGTATATGGCACATGTGATAGAGCCAGGACTTTAATACATCTGCTGATACATTGTCTGATTTGGCACTGTATGACACTTGGATTTGGCCGGCACGGGAAGCTTGTGCTGAAAGGTGAAGCAGCAGCTGCGGGGCGGGGTCCCCAGCCGGAGAAGGGCTGGGCCGAGGGGTCGCCGCCCCGCCCCGGCTCCCGGGCCCGCCCGCCCGTGGCCCCGCCCCTCGCCCTGGCCCCGCCCCACCGCTACTTCCAGTCTCGTTGGAGACACCTTCACTTCGCATTACTAGAACGACCCCGAAGGCGTGTCGCTTTACGACTTATTGGGCACTTTCACTCGCCTGGCCCCGCCCCGCGCCAGCCCCGCCCCGCCCTCCGGCCCTGCTCGGTCCGGCCCGGCCGGCGCTGCCGGCGGGTGTTTCCGGGCCGGTCTCCAGAGGCCGGCGCACAAGATGGCGGCTCCGGCGGCTTGGGGGAGGCAGCTGCCGCTCGGCCCTGGGCTCTAGCGCGGGGCTGGGGCCGGAGACAGGCTTTGCCCAGGTGACGGGTGGTCGGGGCGGCGCCGCCGGGCCTGGTGGGGTGCAAGGCCCGCTTGCTGCTGCACCCAGATCCCGCTGCTTCCCCAGGCCTGCCCCCAGGCGGAGCCGAAGGAAGGTCAGGCCCGCCGCCCCGCCCAGTCCCGTCCCTCCCTTCCTCCGGGCGGTCACAGTGCGTGACTCACTTAAGAGTTAACTTCAGCCACGTGCAGAATCCATGGCGGCCTCGCAGGCTCTGGGGGAGAAGATTAACATCCTGTCGGGAGAGACTGTCAAGGTCGGGGAGAGGGACCCGCTGGGGAACGACTGTCCGGAGCAGGACAGGCTACCCCAGCGCTCCTGGAGGCAGAAGTGCGCCTCCTACGTGCTGGCCTTGAGGCCCTGGAGCTTCAGTGCCTCACTCACCCCCGTGGCCCTGGGCAGTGCCCTTGCATACAAATTTCAGGGCGTCCTGGATCCCAGGCTGTTGGTGGGTTGTGCCGTGGCTGTCCTGGCTGTGCATGGGGCCGGCAATTTGGTCAACACTTACTATGACTTTTCCAAGGGCATTGACCACAAAAAGAGTGATGACAGAACCCTGGTAGACCGAATCCTGGAACCACAGGATGTTGTCCGATTTGGAGTCTTCCTCTACACCTTAGGCTGTGTCTGTGCCGCTTGCCTCTACTCCCTGTCCCCTCTGAAGCTAGAGCACTTGGCTCTCATCTACTTTGGAGGCCTGTCTGGCTCCTTTCTCTACACAGGAGGTAAGAATTGGCCTGTTTTCTGTGCTGCAGGTCTTAGTCCCATGTACTGGAAACTGCTGGTTTTTATAGGAATTATAGGTGTGTCAAGAGTTATTTTCTAAATTAGGTCAGTTTACCTGAAATCATTGTGTGGGTCATGTGGATTATTTATTTGTTTGTTTATTTTGAGACAGAGTCTCACTCTGTTGCCCAGGCTAGAGTGCTGTGGCGTCAGCCTCGCTCACAGCAACCTCAAACTCCTGGGCTCAAGCGATCCCTCTGCCTCAGCCTCCTGAGTAGCTGGGACTACAGGCATGTGCCACCATGCCCGGCTAATTTTTTCTATATGTATTTAGTTGGCCAATTAATATCTTTCTATTTTTAGTAGAGACAGGGTCTCACTCTTGCTCAGGCTGGTTTTGAACTCCTGACCTTGAACGATCCACCCGTCTCGTCTCGGTCTCCCAGAGTACTAGGATTGAGCCACCATGCCCAGCCTGGATTTTTTTAAAACATTGGGTTGAGAAGATCCTGGCTTAATTCACAGATGTTGGGCATGATTCAAATATATATGTGGACATTTTTTGTATCTAATTTCCTTTTGTTAATCATACCTTGTAATGCCACAGTTTCAAGTATTAGAGGAATTATATTTGAAGAGCTCAAAACTATGCAGCTGATTATATCCAGGTAGTTTACTGGGTGACTTTCTTGCATGAGGCTGATTAAGGGCAAGTGGTTAAGCCCTATTTACTGAGCACCTATTATGTATCAAACACTCTTCTGTATGAACACAGCAATAACAGATCCTTGCCTTTGTGAAACTTATTATATATCATCATGATAAGAGACAGAAAGTAAACATACAAAATTATATATAGGTAGGATGACCAATGTCTTGGTTTGCTCAAGACCAAAGCAGTTCCCGGGATGTGGAATTTTTGGTGTTAAAACTGGGAAAGTTCCTGGTAAGGCAGGTTAAGTTGGTCACCTAGGTTATAGGATATGAAAAATGATAAATGCTAAGGGAGAAAAAAAAGTAGAACGAAGGAAGACACAGATTACTATTTTAAGTAGTTTGATTAGGATAGGCTTCATCAAAACAGTAACACTTGAACTAGATTGAAGGCAGTGAGCGATGAGGAGGTTGACCAAGCAGATATCTGGGTGAAGAGTGTTTTAGGAAAAGGGAATAGCAGTGCCAAAGGCCTTCAGGCAGTAGTATGCCTGAAGAGCTTAAGGAACAGTAAGGAGTCCAGTGTGTGAATGAGGGAGAGAGTAAAGGGAGGTAAGTGAGAAGTGCATGTGGGGAGAGTAGGGAGGCAAAGCACAAATTATCACAAATTATACAGGCCTTGTAGGCCATGGAAATGGAGTGATTGCAGGCTAAGGTATTGAGAATGGAAAAGGGAATGAGAATGGGAAAGTGGGCAAGGGTAGAGGCAGGAAGAACATTAGGAGGCTTCTGCATGATCCAGGCATAATCTGTGGCTTGGATCCAGGGAGTGAACTGGATGTGAAGTAGAGAGTAACAGGAATTAAGCTCAGGTCAAACTCAATTTTGACCTGAGTAGCTGTAAGATGGAGAAGCTAAGGTTAGAATGTTTTTGGGGAGTGAGGAAATCAGGAGATTAACTTTGAAAAGCTTGATGTCTATTAGATCTCCAAGCAGAGATGTTAAACTTGGATATATATATATCCAAGTTCAGGGAAGAAGTCTGGGCTAGAGATATGGATATTTGGAGTCATTGACATGTAGATAAAGTTGAGATCTGGGTGAGATCATCAGAGTAGGAAGTATTGGTAGAAAAGTAAGGAGGACCAGGACTGAGCCCTGGAGCACACTCCAAAATTAGCAGGTGGAAGAGAAGAGAAGAAGCAGGTAGAGGGGACTGCGAGTGAGCATCCAGAGGAATAAGAGGAGAACCAAGAAGCTGTGGTGTTCTGGCAGCCAATTGTGAAAAGTTCAATAAAGGAACTCAATGGGGTGCTGTAATAGAACATGTTTAAGGTGGTGCAGGTGAAGGGAAGAGGGCCTCTCTGTGAAGGTGACATTTAAACTAAAACTTGAAGGAAGGATAAGGAGCCAGCTATGGGGCAGAATTGGAATCTGATGGGGATATCAACTCCTTCAGGGCTGAAAGACTAGCAAGTGCAAATGTCCTGTGTGGGAGAGAGCTTGGCATCCTCTAGGATCTACCAAAAGGCCAGTGTGATCTAGAGGGAGAATGAGATACAGTTGGAGAAGTAGGTGGGGGCTAGATTCTACTGGTCTTTTTTTTTTTTTTTTTGAGGCAGGGTCTCACTCTGTTACCCAGGCTGGAGTGCAGTGGCACAGTCATAGTTCACTGCAGCCTCCAACTCTGGGGCTTAACTGATCCTCCTGCCTCAGCCTCCCGAGTAGCTGGGACTGTAGGCACATGCCACCATGCGCAGCTTGTTGTTTTTAAAATTTTTTGTAGAGTTGGGGTCTTGCTGTGTTGCCCAGGCTGGTCTTGAACTCCTGGCCTCAAGCGATCTTCCCTCCTTGGCCTTCCAAAGTGCTGGGATTACAGGCGTGAGCCACCGCACCTGGCCCTGGCATGTAGTAGTACTTAATAAATATTCATTAAATGAAAAACAAGAAGACATTGAAGAAGATACTGAGCAGAGTAATGACATAATCTGGTTTAGGTTTTTTAATGTTGACTTTGACATATAATTGACATACAGTGGAATGCACAGATCTTTAGTGTTGCAGTTTGATGAATTTTGACAAATGCCTACAGCTGCGTAACCCACGCCCATCATGATGAAGAACAAACATTACCATCAGCCCGAAAGCTTCTTTGTACTTCTTGCCTGTCTTGTCCCATTCTCCCTGACATACCCAGAACAACTTCTGTTCTGATTTCCTTCACATAGATTAGTTTTGCCTGATCTGGAATTATTCAGTATGAACTAGTTATGTGTGCGTGTATCTTTGTTTATTTCAGTATGAACTCGTTAAGAGTTCATATGTCTAGTTTCTTCTGTTCAACATGATGTTTTTGAAATTTTTCATGTTATGTGTAGCAGTAGTTCCTTTGTATTGCTGGGCAGCATTCCATTGTATGAATATACCATAATTTGTTTATCCATTCTCCTGTTCAGGGTCATTTGGATTGTTTCCATATTTTGGCTATTATGACTGAACATTGATGTTCAAGTATTTTTGTGTTTTCATTTCTCTTGGGTAAATGCCTAGGAATGGAATTGCTGGATCATAGGGTAGGTGATATTTAATTTTATGAGAAACTGCCAACTGTTTTCTGAAGTGGTTGCACTATTTTACATTCCTACCCTCAATATGTGACAGTTCCAGTTGCTCTGCACCCTTGCCAACTTTTTGATTTATGTTTTAACAAATTAATTCTGGCTGCTATGTGGAGAACTGGCCCAGTATGTCACTGTGCTGTGCAGGCTCATTCAGAAAATGGTGTTGGGAGGGGTGGGATGCCTAAAAGGAAACTCCCAGGTGGGCTCCATCTCTGAATCTGGTGGAGCACACGAGCCTTGGGCCGTATTTCGGACACTGAGGAAACAGGGCTTTCTCCTCAAGGGCTCTGTCGTTTTCTTGTGTCAGATAACCTCAGGAAGGTTACCAGACCTCTTTCATCCCAAGAGTGGGTTTATGCTTGGTTTTTGTGTAGGACCTATTTAAGGTGAGGACACAGGTCTCTGTTCAACTTTGCTCAGGTCACTTTTTGCCCAGTGATCTGAGGAGGTGTTTGTGGAGAATCCAGCCAAAGTTCAAGGCTGTAGGACTGTTGCATTTTCTTCGGCAGCCAGAGCCCTGAAGGCAGTTGCGAGCTGAGAAAATAAGCAGGAGAGTGGGCAGCTGTGGAGACGCTTGCGAGATCTGTGCTGGGAGTGCTCCTGCCCAGCCTCTTCAGGCAGGGGTAGTCCCCTGAATGTGTGAGATGTTGCAAGAGACATCAGTTTACTAATTCAGAACTAGAGCTGGTGTTTTCTGCTTGTGGAAACTTCCTACCAGGGGCATGTCCTCAGACATGGCTAGGGGGATACGGAATTGGCTTGCTGGATGTTGGGGAGTGTCAGGGGCTTACCTGTGATGCCTTCCTTGGGCGTGCTTTGTTCTAAAGCCAATGAGCCCCAACTGCTAATGGGAAGGTAACCTTGGGCTGAATCTTGTTGTTTGGCGCCTGTTTTATTTTATTCTATTTTTTTGAGACAGGATCTGGCTTCCTTCACCCAGGCTAGAGTGCAATGGCCTGATGGTAGCTCACTGCAGCCTCGAACTCCTGGGTTCGAGTGATCCTCTTGCCTCAGCCTCACGAGTAGCTGGAACTACAGGTGCACACCACCATGCCTGGTTAATTTTTCTATTTCTTTGTAGAGACTGGGTTGCACTATGTTGCCCCAGCTGGTCTTGAACCCCTGGCCTAAGTGATCCTCCTACCTCAGCCTCCCAAAGTGCTATGATGACAGGTGTAAGCCACTTTGCCGGGCTCTCATGGTTTTAAATCCTCTGCAGATCATGGTCACTTATTCATTTTAAACTGCTTAAAATGTACCTGATCACCCAAGAGCTTTCTTTATTTTCTGATCCTGAGGCCATACCTTGTAGCTTGGTTAGATCTAGAGTTTCCTAAGCTTCTGTAGCAATATGTGTGTGAATCTTGTTCCTTGGCTCCCATTATTTTATTTTATTTTATTTTATTTTATTTTATTTTATTTTATTTTATTTTATTTTATTTTATTTTATTTTATTTTATTTTTTGAGACAAGGTCTGGTTCTGTCACCTCCTTCAGTGGGCACTTCTCACCTGCTTTACCTGTTTCAGTATGAGTGGGAGATGACTTTGGTCCTAAATTCCAGGTGCTTGTTACTGTAGCTCTGTGTTCAGTTCAGCCCTTGCACCAAGCATTGGGGAGTGAGCTGTGACCCAGCCAGACACAAGGCTGGGCCCTCATGGGACTTATAGTTTGGTGGGAAAAGCAGAGATTATGTAATTAGAAGCATGTTAAAGAACTTTACAAAAGGTAGTCAGGTTGCCATGGGGCAGGGGTACCAAATGTGGTTTAGGGGGTGAGGGGAGGCTGTCTTGAGGAATAGTCTTTAAAGTCCTAAAGGGTGAAAAGGCCTAAGCCAGGCAAAGAGAGGGGTTGTCTGAAAGCCCCGAGGGACTGAAAGAAGTCTGGGTGGAGGGGACGGGACGGGAGGGGAGGCAGGAGAGACAGTCAGGGCTAGAGGTGAGCCAGGTTAAAGATCCAGGACTTTCATGCTCAGGGCAGTTGTTGATAAAGCTTAAGGTGCATGCTGGGGAAAGGAGAGTGGTTAGAGTGGTATTTCTAAAGGCTTGCTCCAATTGCGTGTGGAGATTAGGGATGGGGAAGGGAGGTTGTTATAAGATTGGAAGCCAAGGGACCAATTTGGAGAGTGTTACAATTTTCTAGGCATAAGATGACTGTGATTTGAATTTGAAAATTAGAATGAAATGGGATGGAGAGAATAGGCAGGTTTGAAAAAAAAAATGGTTAGACAGGCTTTGAAGTAGATTAGCAGGACAGAGTGGGAATTAGGGATGGTTTTGTTTTAACATGGGAGCCAGGGAAGGGAAACAGCGATATGCCTCGGCTGTCCTGCCCATTTTGCTCATTGCAGGGTGAAAGTTTCTTTATGTGGAATTTTGCAGTGTGATTCACTGGGGTTTTCAAAACCAGAAAATGTCTCCAGAGATCGTGGGGGAAGGAGGTGGAAAAGTAGTGGGCTGGGGTGGCTATTCTGTGAGGGACTTGTCTCACAGAGTCTCGCAGGATTTGGTGAAGGGTGAAAAAAGCAAAGAACTCGATTGTAAGACCTTTAGATCCCTCGCAGTCTCTTCCATTGAACTACGTATGTAGTGGGAGCCCAGTGCTCTCTGTTGGGGGAAAGTAGGGAGGGAAACGTGGGTATGAACCTGAGAAGAGAGGCTTCAAAACCTAACTGGGCATCCTTTCTGCATCTGTGTCATTGCAGAAGAAATGAGATTTTGCTCTAGCAGGGAAAGGAATGGAATGAGTGCCTACCCTCACAGTCTAAGGATTCACCGTTCCCAGCGGAGGTGTCCTGCCTCTTGACTGGTGAACAGTCCCTAAATTTCCAGCCCTGATCTCACACCAACTCTCTGGGTTTTCTGGCCGCAGGAATTGGATTCAAGTATGTGGCTCTGGGAGACCTCATCATCCTCATCACTTTTGGCCCACTGGCTGTGATGTTCGCCTATGCCGTCCAGGTGGGGTCCCTGGCCATCTTTCCACTGGTCTATGCCATCCCCCTTGCCCTTAGCACCGAGGCCATTCTCCATTCCAACAACACCAGGGACATGGAGTCCGACCGGGAGGCCGGCATCGTCACACTCGCTATCCTCATCGGCCCCACCTTCTCCTACATTCTCTACAACACGCTGCTCTTCCTGCCCTACCTGGTCTTCAGCATCCTGGCCGTGCACTGCAGCATCAGCCTGGCCCTGCCCCTGCTCACCATCCCCATGGCTTTTTCCCTCGAGAGACAGTTCCGAAGCCAGGCTTTCAACAAACTGCCCCAGAGGACTGCCAAGCTCAACCTCCTGCTGGGACTTTTCTACGTCTTTGGCATCATTCTGGCACCAGTGGGCAGTCTGCCCAAACTTTAAGGGGACCAGTAGCTCCCCCACAACATGTCTCCCTTTCTTGGAATAGGATGAAGTCAGAGCCTCCGAGAAGGCAGTGTGACTTGGCAGTGAGGGTACTAAGCATGGGTGTGAACTCCTACATTTTTTTTAGTTATTATTATGTTCTTAAAGATAATCTGTTGTTTTTGTCTTTCCATTTTTATGGGGAACTTTGAAACCACTCTGGTATCAGAAGGTGACTTGGACACATGGTCCTGTTTTATTTATAATTTCCACTAGAGGGTGTTGTCAAGTCACTTTACAATGGAATGGACTGTGTTCCTCCTTGTTCGGCACAAAATGTCTTAAGACTTTGTGAAGGATCTGCCAGGTCTGGCTGCTATCCTGAGAGAGCCGTAGTAACTAGGCAGAGTGTCGTAGGACATGGTGATGATTGATGCCAAGCCCATTAACACGGGCGGCACCTGTCTCTTGCTCTCAGTGCTGGCGTCCCGAGACATGCTGCCTGAGAGAGAAAGTCCCTCATTAACAGCCTTGTGGCTCCTGGCTTTTGCCTAAATTGTGATTCAGACTTTTTTGTCTTTCATCTCTCCCTTGACTTCGTGCAGCAGTTGAGGGAAAGTGTCCAATCATCCTGCAGCAAGACAGTCAAACCAGGGACTGGGAGGGAAAAAAACCACCTGGAGGCAGCTGAGAAAATCAGTCTGCTTTTGGATAAAAATTAATAGGGTGGCTGTTTTCCCTTTGTGGAATCCACTAGAATGACAAGAAGGACTCCCAGCCCTTTCAGTAACTACCAGGAGCCTGAAATTGTAGAGGCACTGCCGTCCTTGTGGGATACTCCAAGCCACTGGGCTCCCTCCCCACCATTGCCTCTCCCCCACGCCCACCCTCCATCTCTATTGTGTTCCCATTTGTGTGTTTCCCATTTGTGGAGCCAGACTATTGGGGCAACAGCTTAGCACCTGAGTTTGAAACAGTTGCCCCTCCCTGCAGAGCCACAGGATGGGCTGAGCAGGGACCCGATGAATGTACGAGCCAATGGACAACAGTCCTGAGCCCTGTTCAGCGAGTGACAGGTCCTGCCAGTGAAGGAACTGCATCTTTATCCTTGGAGGCAGACATGCATTACTGACCCTGCCTCTCCCCAGGTCTCCGCCTCTCTCCAGGTGTCCGTTGCCTTGTGGATGGATAGTTGAGGGCTTCAGTGAAGTCACACTCAGAGGGAGGGATTCCAGCGTTGATCATAGCTGCTTTTCATTGCATTGCCTCTAAGTGTAATTTCTGGGCTAGAATTGCTCAGCTACATTTGGTCTAAGACTGAAAGAGATTGAAACTGTCATCATTGTTATTTTATTATAGCCAATTCTGGTAGGTGTTTCAAGGTCTTGACCTGCAGAAAATGACATGATAACTGGTTCTTAATCCTTCAGATCAAGCTAATTATGATTTGGCTCCTTGAGTTAGAATTGGGCAGCTTATTTGGAAATTGCAAAAGTTCCTCTAAAATTCAAGGTGGTTCGTCTACCAGAGAGCCAGAATCCTGGAAGAGCCCAGGAAGAAGGGAATGAAAGATGACCTTTCTCTCCCACCCTTCTTCCCAGCACCATTTTTGTTTCACGCCAGGCTTGTGCCATTTTGGTGCTCACAGGGTTTTGCCTTCAGAAAAACTCTTCTGACCTCTCCTTGGAGCGGGCCATTGTCACTTAGGGCTCACCCCTGAAGCTGGAGGACCAAGGGCTCCCTGTGTCCATGGACCAGACCCGCCTTTGTGGCTGCTCCCATGGCGGTTGTCAGCCGCTGCACTGTGCCCCGGTGCAGATTTTAATGCGTATTTTTATATGTAAATGTTCCAAAAGGCCAAATTTGGTGCCAGCTTTTATATGCAGGTCGTTATAATTTGTATTTTGTCCCTATTATGTTTCTATGAAGGTTTTCTTTAGACTTAATTAAAAAAAAGAAAGAAAATGTTCATTCATGGTCTGCCTATTTTTCTTTGCTTCCCTCCTATTTCTCTTATTGTCTGAGTGTGAACTTGGACTCGTCAATCTCAGGGGGACCAGAGTGGGGACAGTGGACATTCAGGATCGGGGAAGGGCACTTGATCTTTGGTGATGAATTTGGATAGGGTTTGACCAGATTTGATGGGTCCTTACAAAAGGCAGTAGGGACCACTTTGAGCTAGTACAGATTTGCCAAGAGCCAGTCAGCAGCCGAGCTAGATTAACCTCATTTCATTTTTCCTTTTCTTGATAGGGTCACTGCTGATACAGACAGAGAACATGTAGTAGATTGAGCACGTTTGAGTTTCAGCTAGGCATTTGCCAATATATCCTATGCAGAAGGCAGAGATATGTGGGATGGATAACAGTGTACTTAGATGAATTCCTGAGAGACTGAATAAGTGGCAGGAGAGAGCTGACTGATCAGCATGTCAGTGTCGGCTGGAAGGAAGCCTTCAGCAGCACGTGCAAGCCCTCCCTCTGCCCTTTGCCTGGCTGGATTCATCACCTGTTACTAATGACTCCAATGAGGCAGCCAAAATTGCAGGTTTCATGAACCTTGGAGGAAAAGCTTACAAAATGACTGACAATTAGGATCCTCATAGATCAAAAGCCTGCTTTGATGGGTCAAAAGAAAAATTTAGCATGAATAAATACAAAGCAATATACTGGGGTCCCAAAAATCAACAGCATAAACATCAGGAAGGGGGAGATCTGCAGCTTCATAGCCAGGGAGATGTGGCGGGTAGAAATTTTATCAGTGACTCTTGAATCACATGCCTTTATTTCTTTGAGTCAGTTTATTCTGCTCCCCAAGCTAGCGGTTAGAAATTCAGCCCCAGTCACCTCTTGAGCCCCTTTCCATCTGTCTGATCACCCAGGACTCCTGGGTCTCTGTGGGGCCAGAAGCCAGGGATTTGGGCTGGACCCTTGCTCTTTTTGCCTACTATCTGTGAGGTCACCTCTCTGCTACTTGATGCTGGCATTTGGCTGTGGAATTTACCCTTGTCTTGGACACTGTTCCTCTAGAAAGGTTCAGAATACTCCTTCCTGCTGACAAGTACTGCGGGCCTTTGGGCACTGGTCCCTGTCACCCCATTCCCATTTCTACCCAGTCTTAGGCTACTACCATGCTCCCCCTGATCTACCCTGTCCACCTCCCCTACGCAAACCATTTCCCTTCTTCCCCACCCTTTGTAGGACCTTTGCCCAAGATTCCACCCAGGGGACCTCTGGGAGCTCAATGCTGGCTTCTGGAGCCAGGTGGGGAAACGTGAATACGTCTTATGTTGTCTTACTAACTTTTCTGTTACTCCTGTGTTAAAAGTAACACCTGAGCCTGTGACCTGGCCTGAAGCTCAGTTGCAGTCAGTAGTGAGCTCCAGCTTCCACAAGAGTTAATGGGATTCGAGGTTGAATTAATAGGAGATCAGAGTCCAGAACAAGGAAGGCAGAAGTCCTGCCCATCCCTGTGTTGGTCATCCCACACACGGTGGGCTGGGGCCAGTCCTGGACACCTTCTTTCCTTCTTTTCTTCTAGATAGTCAATGTAGTGATAGATCAAGAACATGCATGGATATCATACACTTGGATTTCAGCAAGGTATTTGACAATATGCTATGAAATGCGGGATGGATGGAAGTACAGTTAGAGGAGTTTTATTTCTGTGTGCACGTGTGTGCACATGTCTGTGTCTTCACATTGGTAACACCCGTGGCAGGCAGAGACTTTACATTTCTTAGTGTGGGAACCACATTTCGAAGATGTTATTAACACACTGGATCTTATCCAGAACTCAGTTGGCAGGTTGGTGAGGGCACATTAGACTGTCAGCATACAAAGGGGACTCAGGAGAGGGCTGTCTCAGGAAGAGGGATTGGGCTTTTGTTTTTTTCCTTTTTTTGTTTTTGCATGTGGGTTCAAAGGGTAAAACTAGGACCAATGGGTAGAAGTTACGTGGCGCCAAGTTTCAGCGCCAAGAACCTAAGAAGGTTCTTCGTACATCAAGAAGAACCTTCTAGCCATTAGAGGAGTCAACAAGTGGGATGTTCAAAATGTCCTGGTAGGGGGTGAATTCCCAGTGACTGGAGGCATTCAAGCGAAAGGATGGTTTCTTGCCCGGAACATTGAAGTAAAGAGTCACATCAGAGAGGGCTTGGATGAGAAGACCTTTAAGGGTCTCCCAATCCTGCAGTATATTAATAATTGTTCTGTTATTATGAGATTGTCTTAGACCTGCACCCAGGGCTTGGGAGAACAGAGTATAAGAAACATGTTGACATCTCTTCTCCTTGATGTCAGATTGTCTATCTACACTCCTTAACAGGCACAGGTGTGACTGATATTCCTTTTTAAAAAAGGTTATGTATATAAATATAGATACAGTTGATTTCACCCTCGAAAGCCCTTGAAGTGAGGAGGATGACAGCTCCTTACCTCCAAGCCCCGAGGGCCGCTCTGCTGCTAATGGACTGTCAGCCTCTTTCATTACGGGCTCCAGACTGTGCAGGCTGGTGTAAAACTAGTGCCTCTGGCAAGAACCTGGCACTTGGGTCTCAGCCAGTTGACATTTGTGATTTGCCCTTCTTCAAATTGGGACAGCCCTCCCACAGCAAGTGACTAAGCCACGAAGCCGAATGGTGGTATAAACCAAGTTGGGTCCCTGCCTGAGGAGGTGGCAAGGGCTGAGTCCGGGGGTGGGAGAAAGGCTGTAATTGCAAGGCACAGACCCCCCCCACACACACACCAGAAGGTGCAAGGGCTCTGGGAGGACCAGTGAGGGTCTCTGTTGGGCTACAGGGTTACAGGAAGTTGGTCTGGGGTCCTATTGTAATGTTAATGGCCGAGAGGCAAGGGGTACTCCAAAGTCCACACTCCTGCACTCCAGCCATGTCTTTGCTCCTCTCTGCCCCAGTTTGGCTTAGAATTAATTACCTCCCATTAGGGTCACAAGTGGGTTTCACAGGGAAGACAATGGCACAGTGCGTGCTGTGCATCTATTAATTTGTCAACATGTTTATGACCAATTTCCCAGCAGGTGGTGGGACTAGAGTGTAGGGACCATGCTTTATTTACCGTCCTGTCTCAGCACTGGCACAGTGCGCGGTGCAACAGCGCAGGCGCTCAGTCACTGGCTGTTGAATGGCTGAGTTACAGGGGAGGGGCTCACTGACAGGTGGGTATGAGAGTTTGGACCACTGCATCACATCAGCCGAGAGTGGAAAGGAACAGTGGCAATAACTCTTAAGAGCTTTTACGATCCAGTGCATATTCCTAAACAAATAGGTGTTGGATGACTGGCTGAGTGAATAGCGGTCATAAAACTGTCATTTGTTGAATGTTCACTATGGGCCAGGCACTGTGCTGGTACTTACATACATTCTTTTATTGTTCTTAACAACCCCACAAATGGGGTATTAAGATCTGCTTTTCATAAGAGAAGAAACTTTTTTTTTTTTTACACAGTCGTGAGACTGCAATAAGAGAAGAAACTGAGGTGCAGGGAGATTATTAAATTTTGTCAGGGTCACCCAGCAAGTAAACGATAGAACAGTGATTCAAAACTTAGTCTATTTCAGGGCAAGTTCTGCCCCTCAAGTCTCTGTATGTCTGTAGTGCCTTGCACACAGAGACCCAGTCCTTTGGTCTGCCCTCAGGGTGAGGAAGAGGAAACAAGCTCACCCAGTGGTGAGTGCCTGAGAGGGGGCTTCAGAAGGATCAAAGACCGACAAGACCTCACGGTTACCCTCAGGCTCTTAGGCAGGGGCTCCTGGAGTTGCTGCCCGGTGTGTGAGTGATTGGGCCAGCTGCAGGCCTGTGGAGGTGGCCCATGTGCCAGTGTCAGGAGGTGGCTCCCATCAGAGTGGAGTGGCCATCCCCTGGCTGGTGGCACTCTAAGGCAGGAAGCAGAGAGCCTGAGAGCTGGTGGAAGACATGAGCAGGTGGAGGGAGAGGAGGTGCCCAGGGCCCGCCCAGTGCTGCTCCATCTTGGCACTGGTCTGCCGCACTCGGGTCTTCAAGGTGAGGTCCCCTTGGGCTCTTGGCCCTGTGTCCCCCAAAATCCCCAGGAGGCAGCTCTGTGGGGATAATAGTTAAGGTTGCTTCTCTAACCTGCTCTGGCTAGTGGGGCCAAAGTTTTGAGTTGAAGTCTGCCCACCCCTAGGTAATGGGGAGTGGCTACTACTCATGCACGATGTTGGGAAGGAAGGCCCATTCTCAGGTGTTTAACCTAAGCATAAATTTCTTACGCCTCTGTCCCCTATCTGCCCATCTTCGTTTTTCTCTTCTGCAGTCCTCAGCAGATCATAGCACCCACATCAGGAGCCCCTAGAAGCTGCCAGTGACCTGCCCCCTGAGAATGTGGCTGGCCACCTGGGGAGAGAGTGGAGGGAGCCCCTCCCCCCTCAGGATGCTGATGGTTATAGAAGTGTTCGGGACACAGAAGACTCACTGTTTGAGTTCAGCATGCTTATTATGTTAGGAGAGGAGGTTGACACTTGTCAACCACAGAACAGACAACAACCACAGAGCCCAGAGGGTAGAGTTGGGGCCGCTGGGTGGAGTGGCTTCCAGGAAGAGGTGATGATAAGCGGTGATAAATATTTCTAGGAAGAGGTGGCTATGAGAGGGGATCGTTCCCTGGGAAACCAAGGTGCTGGTGGGCAGCTGTCCCCATTCCCCGGGTGGAGAAAGCCATGTGATTGCTGCCTGAGAGAGTGAGTCAGCCTCCTGGCTGCACAGCCAGGCAACTGGATTGTTGAGGCAGGTATGCCAAGGGCATTTGACCACTGCCAAGGTCAAAGCCTTCTGAAGAACGAAAATCCTGACACCTCCTTGCGGAGAAACGAACAGGAGGGGATGGTGGAGAGTTTAATCATCTAAAGCTACCGATACTTAATTAAGATGAATGGCCCAAGGAAGGTGTCCTGTGACGCAGGTGTGCTGTGCCCAGGACTCCTGCCAATCATAA